CGGCCGCCAGCAAGGAGCAGGCGCCCAAGGGCCTCGAGCAGCACCTCAAGCAGCTCCTCGCGTCGACGTTCCCCGCCGTCGACGACGCGGACGTCCGCTCCGTCGCCGCGACCGCGCGCGTCCGGGCGCCGCCGCAGACGCTCGCCTGCGCGCTGGGCCACCGGTTGCGCCTGCGGCCGGGAAAACACGCCTGGGGTGCGGGGTCCATTGGCGCCAGCGGCACCGTCGTGGGCCTCGACACCCGGAGCGGCCTCTACGCCTTCCGCGTCGACAACCACGGGCTCCGCGGCGGCGTCCCCGAGAGCTCCGAGGCCGCGCGGTCGCTCTGCTCCGGCGCTCTCGGTCCGGAGGCCTTTTTGCTGAACCCCGTGCTCCAGCGGAACGCGACGCCGGCGCCGAGCCACGCCTACGAGCCCGGGCAGCGGCTCCTCGTGCTCGACCCGGCGACGCGGCTCCGCGAGGACGCGCTGGTCGTGTCGGCCGCGGGCGGCGGCCGCCCCGCGGTCGTGCGGTTCGAGGACCGGGACGAGGACGAACCCGTGGATCTCAACGCCTTCAATCACAGCGTCGCGCGCATGTCGCGCGCGCACCTCGTGTCCGCGCTCCGCGAGTACGCGCGCGCCGTCGCGCTCGAGAACGAGTTCGTCGAGGACGCGATCACGGGCAAGCACCTGCACGCGCTGCGCCAGACGCTCCACATCGGCCTCGCGGAGCGCGACGGCGTCGGCGGCGTCGCCGCGGAGCGCTACGGCGACGCGCGGCGGTCGTCGGACCTCGTCGCGCTGCTCACGGAGCCGCAGCAGGGCGACGGGTCCGCAGGCGAGGCCGCGGCGCAGCCCGTGCTCATCATGGCCGAGGCGGGCACGGGCAAGTCCTGGATGACGAAGCAGATCGCCTGCGCCGCCGCGAAGGCCGTGCAGACGGGCGACCCCGCGGGCCAGTTCTACCCGCTCGTCATCTACGTGCAGGAGCTCGCGCACCTCATCCGGAGCCGCCGCGACGAGGTCGCCGAGGGCAGCGCGTTCGTCCACCTCGTCGAGGCCTTCATCCGCATCAAGTTCGGCGACCAGCCCGCGACGTGCGCGGCCCTGCTCCAGTGCTTCCAGCAGCGCACGCTCTGCGTCATCGTCGACGGCATCGACGAGGCCGCGGACCTCAAGGCGCTCATCGAGAACTTCATCTTCCGCGAAATCGTGCCCCTGGGCCACCGGCTCCTCGTCACGAGCCGGCCCGAGGCCATCGACGCCAAGCGCTACGCGCCGTCCTTCGTCCTCCTCAGCCTGCGCAAGCTCGACGCGGAGGCCCAGGCGCTCGCGATCCGCCAGCAGGTCGAGGACAACGAGTATTTCCAGCGCCTCGCGGCCTTTGCGGAGGTCCGCCTGCGCCACGACGCGCTCTGGGGCCACGTGCCCGAGGACCAGCAGGAGGCGTTGGAAAAGCTGGCGAGCCGCGACGCCTTCTTCCTGCGCGAAGGCCGTCGAGATCCCGAGGCGCGCCAGCGGGGCCTCGGCGGCGCCCTGGTCGCGCGCCGCGACGCGCCGGCGGCGTCGGCGACGCTCCGAGGCCTCGACGACCGCCTCGCGCTCCTCGCCTGCGCGCGGCCGCCGCCGGGCGCGGCCTACGACCACCGCCAGGAGTGGGCCGACGAGACCGTCGAGGAGCTCGCCGCCGAAGCCGGGGGCGCCGACGGCGGCGGCCTCTGGCGCGAGATCATCGCCGAGTGCGACGAGCTCCTCGCCGTCGCGGAGCGGCTCCGCGCGCCGTTCCGGCGGGCCCTCGAGGAGCTCGCGGAGGCCCTGAACCTGCCCAAGCCCAGCGGCCGCGAGACGGACCGCGTGCGTTTGGGGCCGCTCAAGAAGCCCGTCCGCATCTATGCCAAGGCGCACGACGAGCGCGAGGGCTACGAGGGCTACTACGACGACGGCGGACTCGCGACGGCCAACGTCGTCGACGTCCTGCGAGCCACGCTCCTCTTCGACGACGCCCCGAGCCGAGCCCCGTGTCCGGTGCGCCTGGGAGCGCCCCCCGAGAGAGATGTGCGCGCGCGCTCGTTGGTCGCGAGTTTTTCGAGCGCGCGAGCTCCTCTACTTGGTATTTTGCAGAGATACAGCTTGCGAGCTCACTGAGAGAGAACACCGACAGGGCCTTGCAGTTTACCCGGCCTATATAGGCCTCGTCGAAGCCCACGGGCTGCTCGCGCGGGGCGTCGGCGGCCTCGAGCTCGTGCGGACCAAGAACAAGTTCGCGTCCCCCGGTCCGACGCACAACCGCCAGCTCCTCTGCAACGTCCGCGTCCGCGAGAGTTCGGACGGCGTCGAGCTCAGCCAGATCGCCGAGATCCAGCTCCACCTCTCGGCCATCGCGAGCTGGGACAAGGAGAGCCGCGCGCACGAGCACTACGAGTACTTCCGCCGCGAGCTGAGCGGCGCGGGCCTCGGGTCGAACCTCGAGGACTTCCTGGACAAGACCATGTCCGTCTACGCGAGCATCTGCGAGACGCCCGTGCGCCTGTCGCTCCTCATCCTCGTGCTCGAGGGCGCGGCGACGCGCGAGATGCCGACGTCCGTCGGCGACCTCTACCGGCGCGCGGTCGACGTCGCGCTGCGGGACTACGTCGACGGCGACGGCCGCCTGGTCGGCCGCGAGGCCCTCCAAAACGTCGCCGTGGCCAACTTCCGGCGGAGCCAGGGCGGCGGCCTGGACCGCATCTTCGACGAGCAGGTGCTCTCGACCGCGTTGAGCGGCGACGCGAGGGGAGGAGATCTTACTTGCGAGTGCAAAAGCGACGACGCCCTCGCAGGTGCTCTCGACCGCGTTGAGCGGCGACGCGACGCTCGTCGACGCGTGGGACTTTATGATGCGCGACGGCGCGCCGCCCCTCGTCAAGGTCATCGTGAGCCCCGACCCCGCGCCGGGCCCCGGGGGCGTGCCGCACGCGCACGGCGGCCAGTTCCAGTTCAAGCATCAGTC